ATATTCTTTTGTACCAAAATAACACAACGGAAATATGCTGCGTATTGTTCTCCTGTTTTCATTGTCTTTATCACAAACAATATTATTTGATTATGAACAAGCTATAGCCAACATCACTAATGTCAACGATTCGGTTCTATCCTCCTTTCTTCGTGTACAACAACGAACCACAGCAGCACGTTTCGATAATATAAGACGAGGCGTTGAATCGATTCAGCTATCGTTTAAGGAACAAAGTAAGAACAAAGTTTGATTTTAAGCAAGCTATAACTTTAGCAATATTTTTTGTTAAGTCTCAATTGTCAATTACTGTGCAATAAATTGTTTGAATCCTGGTAGTGGAAGAGCTTGTATACCAAAACATTGGATGTGTGATGGTGGAGCGTAAATATACTTAGCTAATCTTTGAATTGATTCCGTTTTTAATCGATTGATTGCTTCTAGACCTGATTGTCAAGATGGAAGTGATGAAGATCCACGCTATTGTGGTATACTTACTCTCAGTTTTCAAATCGTTTTAGATCTAAACACTTACAATTTTGTAGCATTGGGCGAATGTAATAATAATGAAACACGTTGTGTAAATCCTGGTAATGGATATCCCTGTATTATAAAACATTGGATGTGCGATGGATATCGGTAACCATCAATCGCTCCTTCACCATAGCTTGATAATTAACGAAAAAGTCTTCACATAAATCGAGGAGTATATCATATTTTTCTTTCAGTGACTGTTCTGATGGTAGTGATGAGGATTCTCGTTATTGTGGTGAGCAGAAAAAACTTCAGTCTGTTAAAATAAATTGTTTCCATCTTTTGTTTCTGACCTCTAGATTTATCTCGGGAAACTATTATGCCGACGACGACGTTATCAACACCGAGAACATCAACAGATCCAATATTAGAAATAATTGAACTATATCGACGGGTAATTTCAGACGTACGTATGAGAACTTTCAAACGTACGTATGAGAACAGGCATGTGGAGTAGGGGGCGGGATTATCGCTTTGCTTTTAGCTGCCGATTGTCAAATGAATTGTTTAAATCCATTAAATGGTTCAAAATGTTTTGCAAAACAATGGCTGTGCGATGGAATTCTGTATGGTGTTAACTTCTCGTCTCGCTTTTCTTTATTCTGATTTTTTGTTCAGTGACTGTGCTGATGCTAGTGATGAAGATCCACGTTATTGTGGTATGTATAATTATGAACTAACTTTTTTAAGAAAGTGTTTTTTTCTGTCATAGCTCGTGATAGGCTATGCACATGGAATGAAACACGTTGTGTTAATCCTGGAAGTGGTCGACAGTGTATTCCAAAGCATTATATGTGTGATGGTGGAAGGTAAAGTGATACTATCGAGTTAAGTTCAGTTTAATTAGCTAGTTTTTATTTTTTGTCAAAAGTCCTGATTGTCAAGATGCAAGTGATGAAGATCCGCGATATTGTGGTAAACGAAGAAAATGTTTTTTTCCGATTTTTAGTTATCACTCTTACGAATAAGATATTTTGTTTAAGATTTAACCCAACAATCATATACTATAACTAAAACATTACCGCCGACGACAGCAGCTGGTAAGAAAATTAATTTTTTACTTGAAAATGGTATTGCTAGACCTTGAATCACTTTCTGTTTTAGGCATTAATTATTGTGCAATAAATTGTTTGAATCCTGGTAGTGGAAGAGCTTGTATACCAAAACACTGGATGTGTGATGGTGGAGGGTAAAGTATTAATTACTTTCGCTCCTAAGAGAGCTAATTAATTCATGTTAATTGGTTGTTTTCAAGACCCGATTGTCAAGACGCAAGTGATGAAGATCCTAGATATTGCGGTATGTATGTCATACGAGTATCAAATAATTCAAATCGAAATTGATTCGAATTATGTTTTCTTCTACAGCTGTTGTCAATATTTGTAGAAGTGATCAGATTTGATGTGCGGCTTCTAGCACTTGTATTTCAAAACAATGGATGTGTGATGGTCATCGGTAAGTGATTTGCAAATGAAGAAACTAAAAATTAACTTTAAAATTCATATTTTCTTTCTTCACACATTTAGTGACTGTCTGGATGGCAGTGATGAGGACTTACGTTATTGTGGTAAGAAGAAATGCTTAATTTTGTAATATTAGCTGTGCTTATTACCTTTGCATTTCCAGATTTGACACGGAGAGCATGGACTACAACCGTTTCACCGACTTTGTCAGCTTTAACCACAACTTTTGGTAACTTAAGAGATCTAGTATTTAAAGTAACAAATTTTAAAATTTTTGGCTTTATATCGTCTACTGTGTATCTACAGCTGTCAGTCATTGTGCAATAAATTGCGTTCGACCTGGTAATGGACGTCAATGTATACCGAAAGCTTGGATGTGTGATGGTGATCGGTTAGTGTCCAAGCAGACTAAATGCTTCACATCAACTATTTTCATATTTATCTTCCTTTCATTTAGAGACTGCAGTGATGGTAGTGACGAAGATTCTCGCTATTGTTGTAAGTGTGCAAGAGTTTTAGTTAGTTTCCAAACTTATTTATGGTGAAATCGGTTTTATCGTTTAGCTGTTGCTGTTTGCACACGAAACCAAACTCGATGTGTTAATCCCGGTATGGAAGAACGTGTATTTCAAAACATTGGATGTGCGATGGAGACCGGTAAGGAATATGTTCTATGTTTAGAATGATTCGTATCACACTTTTTCTTTTCATTTCCGTGCACAGTGATTGTTCTGATGGTAGTGATGAAGCTCCCAGCTATTGCGGTAAATCTGCTATAATAGTGAAGTATGAAAATCGCTTAAATAAACAAATAAATAATCTCTTGTCCACTTAGATTTATTAAGAAAATATACTTCTATAAGCGGTAACGTTCTTCCAGGAGTGATATATGTACTAAAGTTTTACAATATTTGCTTTGTTCAGGCTCTTGTGGTGGAATTAATTGTGTAAATGGTGGTACGTGCGATGCAACATTAGATATTTGTGATTGTCCTCTGGGTTATACAGGTGTTGACTGTTCACTTTCATGTGGTACATCTTACCATATACCAAATATTGCACTAAAAATAGCAAATGGCAAAGAAGCTGGTCGGTTAGATATCAAAGCATTCTGTGTACATGTTCACTGTTCTATTTGATATGACTGATTTTAGTTCCTTATTCATGGCCATGGATGGCACGGATAAATTCAGGAAAAAGTCTTTGTGGTGGTTTTTTAATTGATGACCAACATATTTTAACCGCTGCACATTGTTGTGATTCACCGAGTCCAATTCAGTATACAATTTATCTGGGTCTCTCAAATAGATCAAATACATATCAAGATCCAAACGTAAAACAAATGAAAGTTGAACGAATATTTCTACATGAACAATATGAATCATA